AAGCTGAAGAAGCCCTACAGGGATGTTTTGAAGCTACAGATTGGATTGTTCTTTGCCAGCCACATGGAGATGACATTAGTGCCACGACTGAGTGTGTGACTGACTATATAAACATCTGTGTGGACAACACCATCCCCAGCAGAACAGTGAGATGCTTCCCTAATAACAAACCCTGGATCACCAGTGAGCTAAAGGAACTTTTAAACAGGAAAAAAGAGCCTTTAGGGATCGAGACAGAGAGTTATCGAGGAGTATGCAGAAGCAGCCCAAAGTCAAGRTCAGAGACAGAAAGGAGGTTGATAGAAGGAAGCTGGAGAGTAAACGGAAAAGGAACAATATCAGAGATGTGTGGTCAGGGATGAAGAAGATCACAGGTTTCAAGCAAAAGGAGAGTCGGATGGATGGAAGTCTGGACAGAGCAAATGAGCTGAACACATTCTTCAACAGGTTCAGCTCAGGAACAAGCTCATCTTCCTCCTCTCCTGCTCCCAGCCAAACAGACATATCACCCTCCTTTGAACCACAGCTTTCCTGTCAAACCTCAGATGTTTTATCTTCAACCTCAGTCATGGACTTTTCTTCTACATCCACAAGTTTGTCTTCAACTAAATCAGGAGATGCTTCTGCACCCCACCCACTTTTCTGTATCTAGAAGTCAGGTGAAGAGGCAGCTAGAAAGACTGAACCAGAACAAGGCTGCAGGTCCAGATGGTGTTAGCCCCAGAGTCCTGAAGGCCTGTGCAGACCAGGTCTGTGGGATTCTGCAACACCTCTTCAACCTTAGCTTGGCCCAGGAGAAGGTGCCAGTGTTGTGGAAGACATCCTGTCTGGTTCCAGTACCAAAGTAAACTCACCAATCAGCCCTCAATGTCTATAGACCTTTTGCCCTGACATCCCACATCATGAAGGTCCTAGAGAGACTCCTGTTGACCCACCTGAGTAAGCAAACAAGCACACATCAGGACCCCCTGCAGTTTGCTTATCGTCGTGRAGTTGGAGTTGACAACGCCATCATACACCTACTTCAACAAACCCACTGTCATCTGGACAAAGCAGGCAGCACTGTGAGGATCATGTTCTTTGATTTTTCTGGTGCTTTTAACACAATTCAGCCTGATTTACCTTGTCTGAAACTCCAGAAGACTCCGGTGGAGGCCTCAACAATCGCCTGGATCAAAGACTACCTGACAAACAGACCACAGTTTGTGAGACTGAAGGACTGTGCGTCTAACCATGTGGTCAGCAGCACAGGAGCACCACAGGGAACTGTACTCTCACCATTCCTGTTCACACTGTACACTTCAGACTTCCAGCACAAGYCAGACTGCTGTCATCTACAGAAATACTCAGATGACTCTGCAGTTGTTGGGTGTATCAGAGATGGACAGGAAGCTGAGTACAGAGAGCTGGTGGACCGCTTTGTGACATGATGTGGGAACAATCATCTCATCTTGAATGTGAATAAAACAAAGGAGATGATTGTAGATTTCAGGAGAAATAGTGCTAGATCAAACCCTGTTTCCATCCTGGGAGAAGAAGTGGAGGTGGCTGAGGAATATAAATACCTCGGTGTTCATCTGGACAACAGACTGGACTGGAGACTCAACAGTGAAGCAGTCTACACGAAAGGACAGAGCAGACTGTACTTCTTAAGGAAGCTGAGATCCTTCAGTGTCTGCAGCAAGATGCTGCAGATTTTCTACAAGTCTGTTGTTGAGAGCGTCATCTCTTCTGCCATCATCTGTTGGGGCAGCAGCATCAGAGCCAGGGACCTAAAAAGGCTAAACAACCTGATAAAGAAGGCTGGTTCTGTTCTGGGGACGACTGTGGAATCTCTGGAGATGATGGTGCAAAGAAGGATTTTACATAAAATCAAGAACATTGTGGACAACCCTGACGATTTTACATAAAATCAAGAACATTGTGGACAACCCTGACCATCCTCTTCATCAGACTGTCATAGAAAGACAAAGTGTCTTCAGTCAGAGGCTTCTTCAACTTCGCTGTAATACAGACCGCTACAGAAGATCTTTCCTGCCCACAGCCATCAGCATCTACAATAACTCTTTAGTTAAATGAGTTACAACAACACCTAATTTCCCTCTGAGATCAAAAAAGTATTTTTGAATTTAATTGAATTGAGTTTGCTGCTTTAATGTCTCAATTTAGAACTGCTGGTTACATTTCAGCTGCTTTAAATAGAGCCATGTCAAACTATTTGACTTTATTTAAATTAGAGTTACTGTAACAAAGATATACTGTATAGTCAGAGTAAATAAAGTGGAAAAAGTTAAGAGCTCACCATGAGCGGCTCGAAACAGCAGCAGCAAGAGTCCGACCACAGCCTTCATGTCCATGTTTAAATGTTCAACAGAAGACAGGAAACTGAAACAAGACGAACTACTGTCACTGATCACAGAAAAGTCTGTAATGTTGGAGAGGTGAAATAAAGGAAGTAAAAGTGCAATACAAGGAACGGGAACCATTTGAACCATTTAAAGACAGACAGAAGCACAAACAGCACCCCCTAACCTCARCATAGCAAATGGAACACTTTACCAAACATTTAAACCAGAGCAGTAAAATGAAAAACTTGGTAAAAGTGGACTTTATCTATTTTAATTTTATGTATTTGTACAGGTGTAGAACGATACATTAACTTGTATTCACTGGATGAAATTTATCTGTAAAGCTTGATGCAAAAAAGTGTTCACCATCTGTTCTTCTGCTTTACAACCTGGAACTGTATTTTTCACCTTACGCAACATAACTACTATTTAAAAAAATGCTAAATAGTTTATTTATTTACCATAATTGTGTAGCCAGGTGGTAAACTTGTAAAGTGTATTAACATACTGTTTGATTTTTTTTTTTGGGGGGGGGGGGGGGGGGGGGGTTTGTAACAAATATTGCATGTAAAGAATGTTACTTGTGGTACATGCTGCTCTTTTTACAGTTTTACACATTTTGTGTACTCATAGAAATCTTATGCTGTATTTGGTGTAGTTTCACAGTTTGGTCACAAGTAGACAGTGTTGTGCTCATCAAAACCAGGTTTTTCTGAGATTTTGCCCAAATGCATCTTGGTATTTCCTATTTTCAGATCAAACCGGACTGGAAATTCTTGAAGGATAACAATGGGAACCATTTTTTGTGAAAATAGGTAAATATCTACATTATTTGTTGAAATAGGTTTGTATAATAATGTTTAATTAGTCAACATTTTAACAAAATTATGTTTTTTTACTGGATTGTGCAGAAAGCCTGTGTGTTGTGTTCCCTGGTGCACAACATGAAGTTTAGCTAAGCTGTGAGATTCAGTGTCCAATGTGAACTTTTGTAAACTTTGTGGACTGTAAGTTACTGTACAATTTAGCATTTCCACTTGTTTTGCAAGTCAGGGTTTTTWWTTKKTTKKTKKKTTTTTTTTTTGCACTTGTATGCACAAAATTTGCATTTCTTTGTATTTTGTTTTATGTATTATTACGACTCCTAGAAGATCAGTGGGTGGCAACATAATATTTTTGTTTTGTCTCTTTTGAACATTAAAGGTCTGCAACACTACAACTCCAGTAATTAATAATAATAGAATTATGTCCTGGAGGCAACCAATTTTCCCAGGCTACACTTGCATAACTACTCACCCCTCCAAACCAATACTTCGTAGAACCCCAACCACTCTCTGCAGGTTCACCTCCATGATCTTGATTCATCTAATTCTGTTTTCTGTCTGTTAGCAACATCAGGGTTGAGCACCCGCTACAGCCTGGATCTTCCCGGTCAAAGTTGGACAGCGAGCTAGGCTGACGATTTGATCAGAGCTCTGCGGGAGGAGTTAAATGCACCACACCTAAATACATTTCATCAAACATAAGAATAGTAGGTAAGTGCCTTCCAACCTACAAGGAGGTAGAGGAGAGGCAGTCTGCAGCCAATATATGGGACTCATATCTGCTAATAATGGACATAATGGGTTGATAACATTCAAAGCAGTTGGGTATTTTTTGTTTGTCCTTCATAACCAAACTGCTCCAGCTCCTTCAGGTTGGATGCTTGCGAAAAGCTTAAATCGAACCATAGATTCTCAGTTGGAAAGAGACATGCTTTAACCATTCCAGGACATTTATGTTGTTCTCCTTAAACCACTTGATAAGTGGTGTCCAATCCTAGTCTTCGCGGGACTCTATCCCACGTTTTATGCTTCTCTGCTCCAACTCACCTGATTTGATTGAATGGGTGATCAACAGGGTTCTGCAGAACATGATGAGGTAATTCATCCACTGAATCAGGTATTTTTGAGCAGGAAAACAAGTAAAACACTCAGGACAGTGGCTATCTGGATGCAGATGCATTAATAATTAACCCCAGTCTCAATATTCTGAAAGACTCAAACAGGTATCCTTCGAGAATTTCTCTGTATTTTACTCCATTCAGCTTTCTTTCAAGTCTGACCAGTTTCYCAGTCTCTGATGATGAAAAACATCCACACATCATGATGCTGAAGTTTAAAGTTTGATGCCATTCTCTAAACTGAAGGAACATTGGGCCTCATGCAAAAACATGTTCATATTCTTATCCTAAATTTCTTTTACTTTTGTTCGTACGAACATGTCACGTCAGATTCAACAAACTCTTCTATCTTCAGGAAAAGTGTGTAAACGAGAAGCGTAAACTGATGAATGCTGTGGAATTAAACTAGGAGCTGCTAAAGCCGAGGAATGAAATGCGCTGTTAATGTTATGTCTCCCGTATACAGTCAAAGAAATAAAAATTAAAATCATTTTCATCTCTCTCTAGTCCTGCTACGGTATTCCTTAGGACAAATATTTTTAATTTAACTCTAAACAACTGTGTTACATAGTTTTCATTTATTCTCACCCCCCACCCCCCATCGCAAGTGTCAGATGTATTTCTGAAATAAAGCATTTTAAAATGTCTCCAAACTTCATTTAAATTCGTATTATGTAGTGCTAGACAACAGCATTAATAGCCAATTGAATTTAATTTAACCAATTTATGTTGTTAGTTTACATTATTACATTTAAAATTATTATTCCACTTCAAACAGAATAGCCTTTTGTCAACATAAATAAGTAGTGTAACTTATTTTCAACTACAAATATCTTCAAACTAATGAAATATAAATTTATAAGTGAAGAAAATCTGTCTGGATAACAGCAGACTGACTGCTCGTAAAATATACGACAGGTCTGGACCACACATGAATTTTGTTCGTATCTGAAAAT